ACTTGTGTCAATACTCACGCGAACTTATTATGTTATCATTATTATCCGTACATTTTTTTTTTTTTATGGTGTAATATGCTAAATTTAAAAAAAAAACCCTGGGAATGGCTGTACTTACCTATACTTTAAACGTCGAAGAATAACAATATAGGTATATATTACTGCACTGCACATGATAACAATAGCCACTTTCTAAACAGGTCATTTCTTTTTTTTTTTCGTCTTCTTCCTGGCACCATAATACACTTCAAGATTTTTAACTGCCACAGACACTACCGTCCACTCCTCGCAATTGTGCACTCTCTCTCGCCATTTCACTATACTTACACTCACTATTTCTTCAGGTTTCAACCCAGACACCATCCATCGCTTTCGTAGTTAGTCTCTACTCAAAGGCCATCCTTATATTCATTGATATCGCGGTCTTACGAAATGTTTAAACCGTTGGATTCTTCGAGTCTTTGCACAAAATTTGTTATCTTCAATACTTTTTTCGTCGTTTAATTTTTCTACAACGCCCCTGCTATCCCAGTTTGTTGTTATAATAACACTGCAGAATAACAATATACGTATATACCTATCTGTACAATACTAAACGATTTTTGGAATGTGTAACGTAGGCCTGAGACACAGATGAATCTGTTCCAAATAATTATTAGTGCCCTATATGTATACCTATCTAAACCTAAAACGTAGCGATGAAAAACCAAGTCGATTTTATGGAAAAAAACTAAATGCAGTAAAATCGTAGCGATAAAACATTTTCACAAGGTCAGTGTTGGGGCAACTATGAGTTATTTACACATTCACAATAGGGTTAGGTTAGGTTAAGATCCACACGTTCGGTGATCTAGGTGGCTGTTTGCCCGTAGACCGTACACGTTATACTAATTCAGTATGAATTAACCAATTACGATAGTCAAACAACCGTACGATTTCTTCCGGAGTGTATGCGCACGGGCATAATACATCCGGTAAACGACGTTAACGGGTTGGTACGTTAATTTTAACAGGCGTTGTGCAAAAACTCACTATTATTGTATTGTTACCATTATATTTAGGAATGAGCCGGTTCCGGGCCTTAGTTTTTCGCTTCTATACACGAACCGAAGGTACTGATAATCTCCGATTCTCGCATGATTATTTATAAATACCGGTTCTTCGTATTCATATTTTTAGTTTTTTTGCTGTGAATACGCTGATTTTAGTTGATTGTTTTTAGTAAATTCCAGTCATTATTGAGGGACGCGTTATTTCAACGACACTAGTGTAACCCTGATGACTGAGAACATTGAAGCCGGTTCAAACGAGACTTATGAGAAAACACTCGTATCTGTTGAACACTATTGGTCATTTTGATTTTGGTTTATTTGGATTATACTGGATCAAAAAAAAAAAACCTATTAGTAGCTACAAGACTCACAAAATAAATAGGTTCCATACAGGTGCTCCGCAAGCCAATTTAGTTTTAGATTCGTGGTGGAGCGAAGAAGCTTATGGTTTTAAAATGATGTTTATTCATTTGTTTTTTCTGTGTATAGTTAGCACTATTCTACCGACATTTTTGCTCCAATTTACATTGATAGCGATTTTTTTTAAAAGGAAATCTGTTCGGAACGGTACTTTCATGAGGTCATATTTTGTTTTTTCCCGGAGTTTACTCAATAAATGTGAAGAACCGGAAAAATAGATAGAACATTAAACAAAAACCATTAAAAGATAATGTTTAACGCACGGCATATGCAATTGTTTTACCAAAATACGACACGATATATTGTTGACGAAGCAACACTTTCAACCGACCGAACTCCGCTCACAATCGTTTTCCGTTAGCAATGGTGAACCGTCGCTCGCGTGTTATTGCGTACGTTAAATTCCCGTCTGACCTTCCGGACATCCCGCCCACGCAAACGGTGGCTGCCATTTTCGTGAGGCGGCTTTTTTCAATGCGCTCCGATGCGGTACCGAGAACGGGAGAGAAGAAGACTTTGCGAAAATGCGCGAAACCCCGTACCGGTCATTTTTCCCGGAGCAGCCCGTAGCCCCGTACCCCCCGAAAAACGGTCGGTACGCGACAACAATGCCGTGAAAAGCGCTGCAGGCCAGTGTTAACCGCCGTTCAATTTCCGAACACCGCAAAGCGCGAACACAATTATTCGCCGCGACTCGCCGTTGGTATGCATACACGTCTGTATAAAATGGGTCGAGAACGCTATATTGTATTGTCGTTGTTGTTTTTTTTTTTTTTTTTTTTTCAAATCATACGGCACGGTCCGCGTGCGTGCGGTTTACACATATTAGTCGGCGACCGGGTACCGTAATACACGAGAAAATAACATATTATACGCACGCGTTCCGACGCGTACCGTCGTCGCGAGCACGTTCCGGCCGGTTTAGCGTTGTTATTATTTTTTATTATTTTTTTTTTTTCTCTACGCCGTCGCGGTGCCGTACTCAGGCCGGGGCACATGCGACGTGGCGCCGACAGGTGGAAATTACACGTTTCGGGGGCAGACGGCCGGTCAGTGTACGCGCGGGCCACGGACGATAATATATGATCAAATATTATTGTATTACACGGAGATCGTTGCGCCGGCGACGAGCCTGTAGCGTAGGTACTAGTCGCGATTCGATACCTATATAAATAATAATGGTTTTATTATCGCGGTCGGGTGGTGGGGGAGAGGATACGGGCGCGAACCCGGTGTAGTGGCGGTGCGACCGCGGGCCGGTTAATCGAATCCGTCTGCCGTTTTACTCGATCCGCCGCCGCCGCCGCCGCCTCCGGTAGACCGGAAAATAAAATCCGCTGCGGCCGATCACGGAGTGTCGTCGGAACTCCGATACGATTGAACGATAGACGAAAAATCGATTGTGTCGGCCGATCGCCGCCGTACGGATAATAATAATTGGAAAAAAAAAAAAATAATAAAATATAGAAACGGGGAAAACGAGTGGATATATTATAGGCGGTGTCGGTCTCGTAAGAAAATGGCGTCGCGTTGTCTTGCGACGCGCGGCGGCGACCGGGCGCGCTCTCTGCGATCAACCGAAATCATTATTATCGAACCCGCGGTAAAAAAAAAAAAAAAAATCTCGTCCGTAACGATATCGAATAATATTATTATACCTGTTAGTAACTATATGCACAATTACGTAATATGTATACAGACACTCGCTGCGTGCATCTGTTATCGTCATAATCAACTGGCAGTTTGTCGTAATAATATAATAGTAATAGTTGTTTTTTTTTTTTTTTTGTTTATAAGTAATTCGATCTCGGGGATAAAAATTATTTTAGAAAAAAAAAACCCCCCTCTAAATTATAGTTTTTAAATAACTGTTTATATGATGTATTTATACAGCAACGAATGGTTTTTTTTTTTTGTAATACCGACACTTATTCTTAATGCCCGATAACATAATGTTTGCACACGATACACGTTTGACTTTATTATACTGAAAATTGGATTTATCTTTTTTTTTATCGGCAAGGGCGCACAAGTTATCAGCTAGTTGTAGAACTGGTGAACTAATGAATAATAAACTCTGTCAAGTTACCTATGTGTCAATTGCGTAAATTAAGTGTTAAAACCTTAAAGGTGAACATTGACAGCTGAATACATCAGTCGAATTAAAGTAATTTTTAGATTCGGTGCGTAGCGGTGAACGTATTGGTTTTAAAACAATGTTTTTATTATTGTTTTTTTTTTTTATATACGAACAATTTTTCTACCAGAAACCTTACTCCAAATTTTCAAGTGTAGTACCTTTTCTGAAAGGAAATTTTATTTCACTGGTACTTTGAGGAGGTAATTATTTCATATTTCCCGAGCGGTTTTCATAATATTCGGGAACACGGAAGAAAAACAGTAAAGTTTTCGTACATGTATAAAAAAAAAGTTCGTTTCGAATCCTTTTCGCTGGCAATGGTTTATCGTTACGTACAGATATAAATCGAATACCCATCTTATCCTACCTTACCCAATTTCTCATCTACAACAGTGGCCCGCTTATCGTGTGAAGTAAGCCCCCCTTTTTTTTTTTTTGTTTCGCTGTTGTATAAATTGTTTTTTTTCAAAATAGGCTGTGGTAAAATGATTAAATTTTTTGAACATAAGGCCGATCAATATTAAACGCATGAGATGGGTTTTTAAGAGGAATATTAAAATATAACTACTTAATATAAACAAATTAATCAGTATTTTTTAAGTACGTGTTCTAATTAATTCAATTTATACGTGTCTTGATTTATTTTTGTAAAAGTTAGGTTACACAGTCAATTATTTATTAATATATAATAAGATTTCCATCGAGAAATTACTAGGTTTACGAAATTTCGGTAAAAATAGTGAATTATCTGATAATCTCAATAACGAACGTAATAATTTCTACTGAAAAATATCAAACATGAAATACATTTTCTGTAAAAAATATCACATCTATCTATACGTATAAAAGAGAAAACGGAATCTTTGTTACGGGTTGGTTTCGCGACTACTTATTCAATTGTCATGCAGTTTTTTTAAATTAAAGAAAGCATCACAGAACAGATTTTAGGCATAAATTTAGTCCGACAACGTTAGTAAATAACAAGTTATCAATTCAAACAAACGTGTAAATTGTATACCATTATACCTTAGTAACACGGATAAAATTTAAAAAAAAAAAACCTATGGGCTGTACTGGATTGGTATCTATGGTTAAACCGCATTTATGGTATCTATAGTTCCTTTCAAATTATAATTTCCATTAATATGTGCTGTCTTCATTATCTACATAATCTATCATAATATATATCTACGTATAATTCACGTTTACAGTGAATTACGTTTTCGACGTTAAACAATTTTTGTTTGTCGCTATGATCAGCTGCGTGTTTTTTTTTTCTTTTCTTGGTTATTATTTTTATCTATCGCATAATATCCACGAAGAGAAAATCAAACCTTGACCGTTCCACAGATAGTGCCAAGAAGATGTGCTTACCTAGGAACAATCATTCACAAACGCACAATCAAAATATAAACCGATTTTACTCGGGTTTTTGCAAAATGATCCGCATTGTCTGGAAAAGGTTTTAAACTATTGGAATCTCCAACATGACCTGTAGAAGTGGTAGACCTAACTTGCAGCAGTTTAGGCTGTATACAAAATAATAGTTTACAGGTATTTTTCATTGCATAGAACGATATAAATAATTCATATAAGTTTGAAATGAAAATTAAAGAAAAGGTATTTTTAAATATTTAGGGGAAATAACGGTGAACTGCAGTGTTTCGACGAGAATAAAAAAAAAGAGAGACCAGGGGAAAACTTGTATTGCACATATGTTTGGCACGGGCAACGCCGGGCGGGACGGCTAGTTTTAATATAAAATAATACGTATACCAATTTTATATTATTACATGCATTCTTTAATGAATTACACTCATTGTCATCATATTAGCGGCGCACATAGGCCCCCTTACGTTTTAATTTAATTTAACTTATTTTAAATTTAAAATATCAAGGAGTAATCCTACGATTGTTTTACAAAAAATAAACTTTGTTCTGACTAGCACGTCTTGATACCTCCCAAAACTATTTAAAATCACTATTGCCATTACAGTCCTTCCGCAAAACAGAATGTTTTTTATATATGCCACTGCCTGCTATACAATTTCGCAGATTTACATGTTCATGATTGCCAACTGTATTTGAACCAGAACGACCACGTAGGTGACAACAGACGCAATTATCTGCAAACACACAAGCACATACTTATTAAGTATATAATAATAAAGGTAACATCTCGCGTGTAAAGATTATGTGCTGAAACTGCTAATGGATGGGCAACTTTTGTGAAAAGTTAGAAAGGTATGATGTATGAAATAATTTAATTTATAAATTATGATCATATACAACGATACAAAGTCTTTAATGAACAATTCTGAGTGAAGTTCAGTTAAACACAATGACGTTTTTTAATGTCATAATTTCTATTAAACTTAAAACGTGTACAAAAAACAATTATAACGTTACTCTCAATTTTATTTTTCACTGCCTACTGAGAGCCTACTACATCAAATATTGATGAATCTCGTGTATAATTTTCGAACATTTTCACTGGGCCAAAACAGTTTTACAAAAGTAAAATGAATAAAAACTAAAGAAACTCAACAATTTAAAGTGGCTACAAATTTCTCAAAAACCATCAAATTGAATTGAGAATGTCGTCTTTCCAGAAATGTACAAACGGCTAATAAACTACAAGAAAATTAAAAAACAAAAATCACCTTATCAATTCACCAACTAGACAAAATTTGCTACCAGAACCACCCCTAATCATCCCGTTATAGACAGAAAAAAAAAAGAAGCACATAACATAGTAAAATCAATTCATTCTTAAGATACACGCACAGTATCTAAAAGTAAGCTTTAATAAAATCGTACCTACCGACTGGAGTAGATTATAGTCCAAATCGAAGAAATCGTGTACATCGAACATAATCGGATGGTTCCAACAGTTTAATATTATGACTTCCAGCTAGAAAAAAAAAAACACAAAAATGAAGATTTTATTTTCTCACAACAGCCAATATAGGCTTTCGGTTTTAAAATATTTACATATTTTATGGTCGTGGCGTCCGATGCAACACTCAACGCCTGGTGAGCAATCATAGCGGTATTTTTTGTCTGTAGGTACATAAAATTTAGAAAAAAAAACTTTGATGAGCTTACGGATTTATCAACACTTAAAAACGAAATAATCGTTAACGACTGATGCCGGTGCGCGGTTTTTCATTTTCAAATTGTAATGATTCTTCCGTATTTTATTGAAATATTAATCGTTTTTTTTTTTTTTTAAATACATATCGTAATATTGGAAATTTAAATCTCAACTGAACGTCTGAATATAATGCCGCTATAATGTTGGTATTCTATGATCTATAAACTGTCGAAATTGTCAAAATGTGTAAGAAAACGGATCGGTATTATTGCGAAATACGTAAAGAAAAAAAAAATGTATTTATGTCGAAATATGTAAAATGAACCGTGTTGAAATTAACGCGAAACGAATTTATCACTAATTGTCTAAACTGATTAGTCGTTTGTCGATTGACAATGAAAACACTATTTAATTACGTGAAAATCAGAACTCCGAAAAAAAACTAAATAACACATTTATGCTAAACCGCGTCCGTTACAGATAACTGTCAAATTGAAAAACGGTTCATAATATACGGGGGCGATAATATAATAAACTATATAGTTAATAAAACAGGTAGTTTAATAAATTTAAAAATAAACTCCAATATTGCATTATGACATTCACTAAAGTACACGCGTCGTTTCATTGCAATATCCGTGCATATGTGTCAGTGTTGGTGGAAGAACGAAGGCTTTTTTTTTATGAAATAAAAAAAAAAAAAAACGATAGCTGGAACGCGTTGATTTCGAAAAAAAGGACCGGGAAAGAGTTTCTATTTACGTGGAACGTAAACGCAAATCGTCGTTTCTTGTTTCCTTCTTAAATCGTTTGATTTTCAGTGAATTCGATAATCGTGAACAATACGTACGCGTGCTTACACTCGTAATATTTCATAGAAATTATTTAGTATTTGGCCTCGCTGGCACAATAACATTATATGTTTCCAAAGAAAATCAATTATTGCAGGTATTTTAAAATTATAAGAACGCGAAAAATTAGTTTGCACTTGGATTAGGTACAGTAACTAGCCGGTGTTGAATCCAGGTAGGCATATACTCCAGGGGATTGTAGAAGCCTCTTCCTCTGGCAAATACTGTCGAAAAAATGTATTTATTAAATGTACAATATCCGCTAAATTGTACATAGAAATGACCAATGACAACGATTCAGCCTACTCTCTCCCCTCCCCCCCCCAGGACAACTTTCCGGATTCGAAACACTGAAACCGGTTCCTTTTTTGCAGCAGAAACGACAAACGGGAACGATTTTTTTTTTTTCTTTAAAGAACTTTTCCGACGCTGGTCACATTATACTTACTTCGAGTACAGCCTTGTGGGCTTCGCGAACCACGTAAAACAGGAATAACAACCGCAATGCGCAGTGTCCAACGCAATAACAGTTGCGGACGATCGTCTTGTCCAACTCGTTTAGGCAGTCGACCGTTAACGTCGTCGCATTCGACACGAGTATCAAAACCGATTCGACGATGATTATTATTGCGTGATACGCGTAATAGGTTTTCACTTCTTCCGTCAGATCGCGGAGTTCATTGAACAAATTGTTGACTTCTTTCGGGTACATCATTGTGTACCTGATATCCGAACTAGAGCTGTTCTTCAATACGCCTGCACAGATAATTATAATTGAAAAATGTCCACTGCAGATGCAGCGTTATAGTTGAGCGCGTCCGAGTTGGACCCAGCGTTCAAAAATCTACTCTAGATGGGTCCCGGGTTCCCGCGAGTACTTTACCAGTCGGGTCCCGGATTTAACGGATTGTACGCTAGTTGGGTCTCGAGTTTATAGCGAATGGAATAGAAGTTCTTAAATGTATCCGAACAGACACTTGCGTCAAAATGATAAGTGTGGAAAAAAAACGGCGGGAATGTATTTTATAAAAAGAACCGTTTATATAGGAGAAAATGACCGAAAAAAAACATCGGTACCGTAAATCGTGTTGGCTTTGTCAAAACGCTCTTTAACAGATCGTTACCTAAGTACATTTAGTGTATTTGTATTAAATTAAATTAAATAACACATTTTTTCAACATTTTTTTTTTTTTTATATTATACTAAATCAGTATTCATTCGCCGACCGGAGGCCACCATCTGAATGTTTTCCAAAACATTTCGTCTGGCAAAACAAAACTTCTTTAACCGTACCTGTGTTACACTATAAAAACTACAATTCGTCGGCATTCCTAGCAGCCTGTAAAAATAAGAAGGAACAATCGTTTCCTATTGCTTATAAGAGTTTGGACTCGACTAGTGTCGAACCTGCCGAAAGCCGGTACCCAGCTATCATAATATCCGAAATTTCATCGGGACCCAACTGTCGGTGTACTGCCTATCAAAATCACTTAGATCCGGGACCCGATTCGGACGCAGCTTTATAATTAAGTGAACGCGCCATCTCCCGGTATTCAGGGGGTCGCGCACAGGGAACTAAAAAAAAAAAAAAAAAAATTCACTTTGAAACACATTCGCGAGTATAGTCTCGTTGTACCGCAGTCCACGAGTTACGGTGCTGCGTAATCTTTAACGAAAAACCGTTCCGTGCGGACGAAAAAAACTACTCGGGCCACGTGGATCAAGACGGTCGACCGTCACCGCGAAACAAAGAGAACTCGTACGTCCGCGTACGTTTATCGATATCACGCTCGTCCGGAATACGTTATTCGAGTTTGAATTACTCAAAATCGTTCTCGTAACACGTAACCCTCCGCGGTGACTTTGGCGTTTCGTACGCACTGCGTCCTGCCGGTGCAAATTCGGAAAGGGGGAGGGGGCGGGGTGATCGTAACTGGCCCGGCAAATCGCGTCCTTTACCGAGTAAATACCGATGAGTGTACGCGATGACGGTTTTGCGCCGTTTCCGCCTGAAAACCGGCGCGAATGGGAACTGAAAATAACACGAACCCGTCAAACAAATTATTCCAGCGTTACATTATATGTTATCATTGATATTGAATTTGTTTTCCCCACCCCCCGATTCCCCCGGGCCCATATCCTCGTGGCGCGCGCGTACTCACTGTTGGCGAAAATCCCGTTGGCCAACGCGTACCGTTCCCGCAACATTCTGACGTAGGCGGCGTACTGGACGACGGGCACCATGGTTGACACGTAAAGCGCGGTCCACATCAACAGCGCGTAGAACGCGACGTCCCGATGGGCGAACGCGCCGTACGCCAGGTTGTACACGCCGACGAACAGCGCGGTGAACAGGTAGAACGTGCGCGGCGGATCGTCGGACGGGCGCCGGGACCGTGACGCCGCCGCCCGGTCGAACTTGGCGAACTTCTCGGACAGGCCCGGGAACCTCCGGCTGTTATTCGCCGACACCGCCGCACTGATGACGGCCATCGCGAACCCGAACAGCACTTCGATGAATATCACCTGCAGCGATAGGCGCCCGCGGTCGCATACATTTCCGAGAGAAACCACCGCCGCGGCTAAATGTAAACGCGCGCGTGTCGGCAAGATACAGTGGCGGTTACCCTGCGGTCCGCGAGGCGCTCAAGAACCCCAACAGATGTGGGACGGTTGACAATAGGTGGGTACCACACAGACCATATCGCAGTCAGGGGCCGGAGGATCCTATGCTAATCGGGTGGGACTGCGATATCCCGTTAGATGAAATTCTACATCGTCCGTCATTGTAAAGTGTCGGTTTCGCTAGGCAATAATTAGTCTATAATTCCTTTCCTCAATCAACGTAACACTTTGACACTGCGCAATTACGCGCGTTAAGAAAATGAAACGTTCATAATTCGCCTATTGTTTGTCATTATAAAAATATAAATATATAACAAGACAATAATTAAGATAATTTATTCGTGTTTTTTTTTTTTTTTACGAGTTTTTTTTTAATTTTACAAATACAGGTTTGTTATTTATTTAAAAAATCTACATCTCGCGATGGTTCCGAATTCCGTTAATCAAAAACATCGCGACCCGTAGGTAACATTATGCATCATAGGGTTAGGCTTGCATTATGGAGATTATAAAATCTTTTTAGTGGTTGATAGACACTATTCGTTTAAAGGAACGTTCTGTAGAATAACAACTATAAGATAGCGGCGGTGGTGGTGGTGGTGGTGGTATAACTTTGCGAATTGATCGAGCGCTCTTCCTCCCCCCCTCCCTCCCTCCCATCTAAATATGTTTCAGATAACCGCCACTGACAAGATAACACTACGCGCATCGACAAATGACGTCGCCCGGTGTGAATCGCGGAGCTCTAAGAGAAAAATAATCGGCGGCCGTAGTCCGGAATGTGAGTGCTAGGGTGTTCCTTAGCTATAGATGATGAGAAAAAAATATCATAAAATGTTTAGGGTCTCACCCCCTAATATTGTGCCTAAATGGTAAAAAAATTATTAATTCATTAAAAATAGTTAACGATACTGCAGAGAGAGCCGTGAAGTTGATGGAAGAATACNATATTGACGCATTTATAACAGAAGAAAGCTTAAAACTATTTTCCCGATTTAACATTGATGACGGATTCTTAAAACACTTCCTGGGAATCTAGTGAAAGTTTCATAAATGGCAAAAAAGTTATTAATTCATTAAAAATAGTTAACGATACTGCAGAGAGAGCCGTGAAGTTGATGGAAGAATACAATTCTACACTCACATTAGATGAAGAACAAAAACAATTTATACTAAAATGTGTACAAGAACATCGGAAAATTTATCCAGATTTTAAAAAAAGCACCTTACAACAACAATATTAATTTTCTTTATTCTATAGGATTTTTTTAGAGTCAAATCAATATAATTCACGAACCATTAGAGATATAAAAAATGTCGAAAATTTTCGTAAATATTGAAAAATGTAGTAAGTTCAAACTTAAATCACAAGTCGGCACGGGTTAACCTTATCTGATCGAACCAAAACTTTTTTTAGTTCGTTTTTATACATATAGGCACAATATTAGGGGGTGAGACCAAACATATTTTAAAACCAAAAACTAAGGAACACCCTACTGAGTACCCACGTAAAAGCGCCGCGAACGAATCGGCCGTAAAATAAAATTGGAAGAAATTATTGTTTTTGCCGAACAGTATTTAAGGCCAAACCGTCTTCGGCCCGAACGTGTTTAAATCGAAAACATTACAGCCGACCGTACAAAAGCCGAACGAACGAACAATGTGTGATAACGGCTGGTTATTGCACAGATAATAATACTCCGGCGGCTTGTGGCTGTATCCGAGCGAAATGATAATTTATAATTTACGTTAAATTATACGTATTTCGACCATGGGAAATATTCAGGATTCGCGGTCGTCCAGTTTATTATTAACCGTTTGTTGGCGATTGTGTCAGAATTATACAGTTCAAATTTCGCACATTCAAAGTCTTCCAACTTAACGGCTGATTAACTAAATAACCGATCGAACAACGCGGATTAATAAGGTGTAACCACTATCACCCGCCCGCCTAAGATAAACTGATTGAAAACAGTTTACTGCAGTTAAAATTGCCGCTTGGTCCGCTGCCTATTCGATAGAGGATTAGCAATATTATTTGTATGTGTTTTAACGGTAATATGGCTGAAATCGTGGAAGTTTTTTATTATTTTTTTGTTATAAAAGTGCGTTTAAAATGAAATATTTATGTAGGTAAATTATCCTGTTTACATGTTAATACGCACAAATACGTTATACAATAGTGTGAAACGGTTATTTATGATATCCATCAATAACAAAATATAGGTAGGTATGCGGTATGCATCAATAGCGACTAGAACGATTTAATACGATTATTATTAGGAGGTAGTACTCGTAACTTAAATTCGTTAGCGTGGCATTTGGTTGTTATATTCCCTACAGGCTAAAATCATTCTAGTAATTTTTTCAAAATAAAATTGCACAATGTATTTCGTAAGTTCATATTCACGATCCGTACACAGCCGACTTTGGACCCGATTTGTTAACCGTGGAAGCAGAGGACTCGGATTCACACCGACGAAACTTGTTTATAGCTTCGAAACGGCTATGGTCAACGCGCTAAATGACAATCGAATAAATACAAATGTTTTAGGATACGGTTAGTACTTAATCGATCGTTTTCAATAGTTAATTTTTGTCCCCGTATCCGCCTGTCCACTTGTCGTAAATACGACGTTGTTTTGTTCGTTTGTATAATTCGCCTGCAGCAGTTATGGACAGAGCGATTTGTCGAGGCGTTCGGTTTGAGTGCGAAAACGACCGTGCGGGGCCACGAACACGGATCGAACACGCATTACACAATTTATCGGTTCGAACACTAGAATGATTTTCGCCCGTATAAAAAACACGACGACCAAGCGCCGGACCGGAAAACCGAAAATAACGTAACGTACGAAAAAAAAAGAAAAAAAAAAGGGGGCCGGAACGAAGAACGGCGAATATCGATGTTTTGTCGACGGCTCGCGACACCCGGGTACCGAAATCGTTTACGTTTCGTGACTCACGGGTCGTCCGTTCTTGAATCGATACGCCCGATACGGAACTCGTCGGTCTTACAGACAAGCCGCGCGCCCCATTTGTGCCGCCGTCGAACACAGCGGACGCTTCTCAGCGGCCGAGTTGACTGACGCGCGGCCATACGATTACCGTGGTCGCGATTCGACGTGTTTCAATAACGTTACGGTTCAACGCAATTTTCCGTGATATTTTCAACGGTACACGTGCATCGGATTGTCTTCGACCGCGGAAACGGATTGACGTCGGTGCGCGGAGGGTTCGTCCGTTCGTAGCGAATGCTTGGTCCGCGGACATCGACCGATCCGGGGGGGGGAACTGGCACGGGGACCCCAAACCGCACAACACGGCGCGTATTTTATTTTGTACCATCCACCCCTACTCCCTCAACCGAGGGAGCATTAAAAAAAAAAAAAACAATAAAAATACTACGACTCTTTATCGGCCGTCTTCCGACAAACGTTTTTCGCGGGAGCCCGAAACGCGTCTGACGGGGGAGTTGGCGATTTCCCCATGTTACCCATCCCGCGGATACGGGGTGGGGGGAGAAAGGGACCGCTGCGTTATGACGCGCCGCGGTCGTTACCGTACCCTCATCAGCATGGTGTGTTTCGGCGACACGTTTTTGGTGTTCTCGAAGTGGTAATGGACCGCGTACATTCCGGACGTGCACAAGGCCGTCCACAGCGACGCGGCGTACAGCACCGACGCGGGCTTGCGGCCGCCGGCCAGCGGCAGCAGTCCGAACGCTTTGGCCGCGTAACAGTTGACCCGGCACGTCGCGTCCATGACACCGTACGGGCCCCGCGGGCGCCGTGCCGTTCGCCGGGTCCGCGCAAATGTCAATCGGCGAAAACGCCGTGAACGACACTGCGGTGCCGTCACGGCGGGCGGACGAACGGCGCCCGCGGCGTCGTATTACGACGGCGCGTCGCGCGGTGTGTCAACACGCGTCGAGTGCGCTCGACAGACACTCGAAGACGCGTACCCGGGTCGGGGAGTGCCGTCGTTTCGCCACAACGGAGCCCTTTCCGACGTTATCTGCCGCCCGCCCCCGTCTGCCCGCCGCCGCCCTTTTTTCGTCGCGGTTTTTTTTGTTGTCGTCGTCGTTGTAAACTATTACGCGTTACCACGCGCCGTTCCCGGCGACCCTTTCGGCCGGAACGAGCGATCGATCTCAATCGAAGCCCCCGGGTGGTGTCGAACGCCGCGCCGCGGTATTCCTTTTCCGACGGACAAGTGCCGCACCTGTTGGCCGCCGGGCCGCCGGGCCGCCGACGCCCGCGGCGGTTCTCCCGCGGTATCGTCTGCGCCCCGCGCGCGCGCGCGTTCCCTACTCGCGGTTACTCGCCGTCACCGCGTCGCCGGCACAGCCCTTTCGGTCCGTTTCGCCGGGAAAACGAACGCGTTAAAGAAACCGACAACATAAAAAAAAAAAAAAACAATAACGCAACAACCGTGCCAACAAACGACGCCGCCGTTGTTGGGGCCGTCTGTCGGGCCACGGACACAATGCAACGACGGAGGCGCGTAATGACAACGTGCCGCGTATCCGACGATGAATCGAACGGACCGCGTGCGTCGGCGTTACGCTATTGACACGGGGGTGTTCTACGAACAAATTAACGGAAACCGCGTTGAAAATACACCGCGTACGCAACAATAACCGATCGACACGAGGGCGGACGACAAACGGCGGGGGGTCGTTTCTCTTGAACGTTCGTGCGCACTTTTAAACCGGCTCGGGGCTTGTCCTAAGACCGCGCAGAGACTTTCGGTTAGGCTTATCGTTTGAGGCGCTGCGTCGTGCACTCGTACGCCCCGTTCCGGAGCACGCGGTCCTTCGCGATTCTCGCGATCCTCGCGACACCCCAATGACTCCTTGAAGCCGAATAGGGTTCAACGGAAATTCTCGAGGTCCGCAAGCATTTGAACCCCATAACTACGGACCTGTTGCTCCGCGACTTTGTTCGGTTTCCTCGGCTGAGCGTATGCGTATCTCTGGCATTGCGTTTTTGGACGGTTCGTCACGAGGTAATAGTCACACTCCAGAATTACATTCTTTAGTCCGCTTCGGAGTACCCCGACGTTGCCTCCGCCACCACCGACTATTTTAAAAATGAACCCAACGGACGGACGATGACGAACGCCGAAGTCGACCTTTCGGGGTTTTTTTTTTTTTTTTATATATATAATACCTGTCTAGTTGAGTAGTAATAAGTAGCGAGTAGTACGCAATGGCCTGTAAGTAATGAATCGTAACAATTAACGTGTATACGTGCATAGTGTACGGTATACATTATGTCCAAAAGGGTTCACGCCACGTATTTAATAAAAAAAAAAAAAAACGAAATAGCGTTGTACAGGTTGTTTTTTTTTAAGCGTGCTCAGCACTCGCACCGTTTTTACGGTAAAAATTACGCGTGCGTACGAAAATTTCAATGTCCGGAATTCGCAAGCGTGTGGCGAAAGGCTACGCGCGTGTCGCCGTCTCGCGGCGAACCGTTCGACCGCCACCGACGTCCGGTCACGGTACCGGCGGTGGCGGTGGCGGTGGCGTTGGCGGCGGTTGGTGGGGGGAGGGGAAAAACGCGTCGACCGCCCCGCGAAATTTTCAACGTCGCGCGTCCCGCACGTCTCCGCGTCTCCGTTAGCGCAGCCGTCGCGAGCCGTTTCGCCGGGCGGTTCGGGCGAGCGATTATTCGCCGGCACCGAGGTCGTGTTCTTTCCGCGCGAACGCGCGGCGTCCTGCGGCGCGTCGCCGCGGCAGTGGTCGGACGGAACGGCGATAGCGTCGTCGCCGTCGCGGCGCGGTGGCAGAACGCGGGCGCTTCCCCGGTCGGGCCTTACCGTCATTTGAATTATCGGGTAGTTATTTTTTTTTATGTTTTTTTTTTTGTTTTTCCCGTTTCGGCACCGTGCGTCTGCGAATGTTACCCGTGCGTTACGGTGACGGCCGTTTTTTTCCCGGCGTCGCGTACGGTTTCGGGCCCGGGGGAAAAACGCTCGGACCGCCGCCCCCTCCCCCCCCCGGCAAGGTTCTCCGCGAGTTTCACGACACCGCGATTCTCGCGTCGGACGGTATTGACGTCGAAAAACGTATCGTATAAAAAAAAAGGGGGTGGGGAAGGTCTCGTGGCGGTACCGAACACCGTTGGTCGTACAATACGTACCGTACGATCTCGTCACATGATATTACTTTGTTTATTTTTTTAATTTTTTTTTTTATAATTAATCCGTTTTGATGTTCGGACTGTTTCTGATAGAACAGCTGTTCCGTCAGAAATCTCGATACGAAAAAACAAAAAAATCTTTTTTGTTCCGTTTTCGATCCGGTGGGTGCGGATTGAAGGGGTCGTTTTTGAAGTTTCCGAGACATTTTCATAATAATTTAGAAAACCCGGAAAATGACGCGAAATGAACGGCGACAATAACTTATGGCGTCACGGTATTATATTATTTTAAATGTTTACGATTTATGTTTTCTACCGGGAATCTTGAAATGATTAGGTGTCTTTTTGTTGAATTCTGGATCTACGCGGTGTAAGAAAATCGTTTTTCGATTTTCCGCGTAGTTTTCTTAACAATTGGGCAACCAGAGAAAAAACGGAAAAGTTTATGGAAATTACGGTTTTATAATTTTCAATTTCGTTTTTTGTCGTTATTCGGTGAAAAATATTCATAGAATCGGCAATTTTTACAAACCACTTATACAGGCTGATTCAATAAGCGTGCTCACTAAATTTTTTTTTTGGTTAATTTTTGCGTGTAATTTTGATTTTTGAATTTTTAAGTGTAGTTGAAGCAGACATTTTTGAGGGTTTTTTTTCGAGATTTTTCACAACATTTAAGTAGTATCCTGTGGCGATACTAACTTTGGTTTTTCAGATGAGAGTCTATGTCGAAAATTCCATAAATAGATGGAGTATTACATTAAATAAATGTTCGTGTTAAAATGTTTCATTGCCGTCAACTCGTTGACGAGATATTTCACTTTTAAATTTAGGTAAGAGGAGAGTATCATTTGTGTTTTACCAGTGCTCCGCTTTGATAATTCAACTAATGAATTGGCTTCCAAAATATTCCAAATTTTCCGGCAGACATATTTCTAAGATTCCGCGCGATTACAATACTTTTATTGATGCGCAATGGTTTTATTAAAACTACTAAAACGACTACAGCTTCATTAAAACCGAATTTTCGGTTTTCATTGCCTTTCGCGTCAACCACGTTTGACCCCACACTAATTTCTCGTTTGTCGTCTTCAATCTCGTTCGGCGCGCTCGTTTTATTTCCATATGAAACTGAACCCGTTTCATTGGAAATCAGGATGTTCTCCATTCCGAATACCATCGGGACAATTGAAACCTTTAATTACTTCCGATTTGTCCGATTTCGAACATTGGCCAGTGCGTTGTTTCTATGGTTCGTTTTGATACGCCAGTACTGACGTTTAGTTCGATTAAATATGAGAACGTTCGGATTCTAAATGTTGCAGACGCAACATTGGTCTTAGAACTATCGTCGTGGTTACTCAAGTTGTTCGCTGAACCGACTGTAGTACTTCATTTATCCACGCTTCCAGATGCAATATAACGTTGGGAACCGGAATGGTTCTATAACCCGGGATCTTTCTTAAGGATAAATCGACACAAATCTAATAACACTAAAACCTTATCGGAAAAGTTGATTTATTTTAAACGTAATACATGTCTTTCATACACAGACGCACATTGGACGTGAATTCGGGGGGGGGGGAGATTTCACCTCCCACAACCCTTTAGTACTACAACAAACTACGGTACGATAGTTTTTAGTTATTATACGACGTCAGTTATTTCGTAGTCGACCGTTGAGATTTAAAACGTACAAAACACGACGATATGACTTCCCGTACGGTTGCCGTTTGACGTTTAGACGAAAACCGAAAAGCGCATTGGCGCGGTACTGTTACGGTAACCGCGAATCCGCGAACTGGTAATGGAAAGAATAATAAAAAAAAAAAAAAAAAACAAATATTTTATCCAAAACCAAAAAAACCATTACGGTTTACGGATTACTGGCGAAATGCCTAAACCTGAATTGTCCGGGGGAAGGGGGTGTGTGTGTGTGTGTGTGTGCCCATTCGAAGCACCCCCCAACCACCGTTTCGCGCCTGTGCTTTACACAGCGTATACGAAGCGAAAAATAAACAATGCGTCATTGTCCGCGACGGCGACGGCCGTGATTTTCGTAATAAGGCCGATCGGCGCGCTGATAACAACGATAATTATTGTTATTATTGTTACGCTGTTCATCGGGAGCGCGAAACCTAACGGGTTGCGCGGGACGGCCACTGTACGGCGCGCGACGTCAGAGAACCGAACGTCCAAACCGTAACGGGAGCCGCGCAGTGGTTTTCCACGGCCCCACAGCCGTTTCGTCCGTTCCCATTCCCGGTGTTCAAACTGAAATCCCGACGCGAACACAGCGGATCGCGAACCGTACGGGTGTCTGTCGTGGGTTTTTTTTTATTTTTTTTTTTTTTCGAAATTCACTCGTTTCCCGCCGTTTTACGACAACGCCGGGGGACGCGCGTTGAATCGACTTGAACCGCGGTCGTGACGTCGTGCAGGGCCATTACGGTGTTTCGGCGACGGGATTCCGAACGCCGCCCGTGCGAACGTACCCGGCGTTCAATTTTCAGAATCGACTTTCGCATCGCGTGTTCGACAATTGCCGCGCAACCGACAAAATGGACGGACACGCATGCGGTTCGCGAAAAAAATAAAAAAAATAAAAAAAACTACGATATACGTAACACAGTACAGATGACACGAGCGCCGCGTTATAATATTGCCGCGAATTTCGTTCAAGAATATTACAATATTAATTTGTTTGAACCATCGCCGGACATTCGCAGCATTACCGCCGTAACGATAGCGTCACGGTAATTTTCAAATAATCATCTGTAATACGGACGCGTGTGAAATGTTCGATTCTTTTCGTTTTTTTTTTTTTTTTTCTAACGGCGTCCGAAAGTCGTTGTGCTCGTAAACCGTTCGACTATAGTCGGGACTTTAAAAAAAAAAAAAAATTCGCATAATATGCGTACCCTACTGATTGCCACGAAAACCGAATTTTTCTTTTACCGATTGCACAGTGTACGGCAAAGAGTTTTATCGAACGTTTCGAGCGGTCCGTTTGTCGCGTTCGACACGAAACGCTAATCTGTGTTTCGGTCTACAATAAACGCACCGCGACGGTTTATTGGTCTTAAGACAACGTTCAGACCCGACGACGGAACGGGAAACTCTGGTGGTTTTTTTTTTTTTGTTTAATTTTCCAAAATTAATAACACAATGCCCGCGAGAAGTTCTGCGGCAGCCGCTTTTCTGCGAAAACCCAAACGCATTTAATACGTTCACCGTAACATTTACAACATCAATACCATCGCACGAGCCTCACAAGCGCAGACGGCACCGTTGATGAACGCCCGGAACGAGTACGATTTGTTGAATATTTCAACAAGTGATTTACGATTCCGGCGACCCGTGAACACCGTAATATATAATACCGTGGAGATAAGAAAATGTTTTATTCAGACGAGTCGCTGTTAGTTATTCATTAATCATCGGCGAAACTGCATAATAGCTGCCGGAAAAACAACGCGGCGTCTCACAAAACGGACCGACCATTGACGGTCAATAAAAACGGCGGGACAATCGCAGTAACGCCATCTGTCGACGTCACTCCTAAACATTACTAGACCGGCTCTCCAAAGAACTAACCGCCGAGAAACGCGATAAAAAAAAAACATGGAAAACGCCGGTCTTGTGCGCGACGCGTAAATTTTCTCGCCGGAAATCCGCCTATTTGTCGTCGTCCGAACACGGAGATGCGTAATTTGTAATAGTACAAAATATCATTATCATTAAATCGTTTGCGTTATGATGTTATAGCGCCGGCGTTTATTTCTTTTAGATTCTGTGACTATTTTATTTTAGACCGAAACGAGCGGCATGTTTGCCTCGCTAAAATCAGTTTATTACTTTTTTCTTTCGTTTTATTTCTGCCAAAAAATAATCAAAAAAAAAATAATAATAATAATAATAATGGGAGGTCATTATTTTGGTTTTTGGTTGTAGTTTTCTTAACAAATGGGAAAATTCGATTTTAAACTCTTACGAAAAAAAAAAAACTCGCCGCACTGAGAATCTGAAATACGACTAACAAACCTCCGCTCAGAATCGTTTATTCAACAATGGTCATTACCGTTACGTATTGATAAAAATTTGAATTGTTCTGTACGGATATTATAATATCTTCCCTCACCACTCTAATGCACACCCGTCGTTTATTTTTCTCTCCTTTACCCGAAGATGATTTTTAAAACAATCGAAACCGGTCGAACAAAACACGCTTGTTGTTATTGTTTAACAGTGTTTTAAGCTCCAGGCCAATAGCTTCGGTTAGGTGTTAGGTTAGGTTACACGTTTATTTATTTTTTTTTTTTCGTTTTTACGTGTTAGTCCAGTGGGTACATAATCAGTCATTTTCCGTTTCGCCGCCTTTACCTCCGCATCCGTACTGAAATTATTCACAGAACATATTCGCATAAACGATTTGTCATGTTGTTATCTTGTGTAAAAAAAAAAAAAAAAAAAAAAAAAGATACATTATTAATGAAAATTAAATTGCGACGTTATATCTTCTTCTTTTTTTTTTTTTTTGCGATTCACAAATTAATTGTGCTTAAAACTTTGTATACTTTCTTCTACTTTTTTCCTCAGCAAGTGCATCAATCAAAATGAATACGCAAGGGTTTTTGTTTTTTTTTTTTTTTTTTTCGTTACCCGTGTGCGTACCGGTTCGTACCGTATTGTGTGTGTGTTTAACACGACGTAGACAGCTGTTTAATTTTGAGCGAACGGACTCGGTTGTTCACGGATTAACTTGTAATTCTAAATTATATTGGGACCTAATTCTACAAGAAAAGAAAAGAAAATTATGATAATAAAAAAACCTAATCGAAATCAAACTAATCCCGATGTATAGTGTCGCCATTGGGCGGCTGATACTTTCTTTTCGTGCGTCTCAAACGATAATTCGTTTCAACGTTTATTGTAATTACTGATTCACAGATTGTTTGCTTTAAAATAAATATACTAAACAAGGAAAACAAAAAAAATATATATATAACAAATAATGCGTATAAAAATATTTTTTTCCACTAAAAAAATTAGTGAAATTCCATTTCATCGTACTTTTTGTAATTTTGAAAAAAAAAAAAAATTGTTTTTTCACATTGCATATAATGACGCTCGACACAAATGTTGAAATAAACGCACCTACCTGCCTGCTTACTATCGAATCGTACCGACCTAAAAAATACCGTATTATTGTTTTTTTTTTTTTTTTTTTTAGACAAATTTGATTATTTAGTACGTACCCATATTCCCGTATTATTCAAATATCGTTCAAACGCGATGTTTACTTATGGAAATCGTTTCTTTGATTTAGCTCCGTGTATATACATACGTACACCTACCCGTGTTACGGTCCGACATTGCGTTTTACACAAATTATATTTCTATACGAAATCATCGCGTATTGTTGTTCCCGGGTCAAATACACTTGAGCATAAATTAATAAACATTACGCGTGTAAATATTTTCACGAAATGGTGATTTTTAAATTGTAACGGATGTGCCCGCCTGCGCACCGCGCGGCGGTTTTTTTTTTTTTTACGAGAACAAAAACATCATTAGATGCGGCCGTACGGTTTACCGAATAAATAGTGCGCCGTTCGATTGTGTTTTCGAAATAGATTACGTTATACGAAAAAACGATTTTGGGCGGTGTTCGGTTAAAACGTGTTTGGATAAAATCAAATTGAACATTTTGTACAACCGTGACTGCGTACACGTACACGAAATAAATCGCTATCGTTCGTGTTTTAACGAATTTTACCTCGGGACGGCGGCAAAAATAAATTGCGCAGCTATCGTCCGCGTAACCCGCCCCCGCCCCTTTCCCCCTTTGAAGAAAAAAAAAAACGCCGACACTGTCCACTGGTTCTCGCAACCGCGTAAAAAAACGCTGGGAAAATTTTCGAAAATTTCAATGCGGCCGGATGAGGAACCGCGACGTAGTATAAAACATTCGGCGAAAACGTCCGGTTCTCTACGAATATTCACGCACCGGACGACGGGGAAAAACAAAAATTAACGATAACATCGAAACGAACGGAAACCGTTTTCGCGATTTTTTTTCCACGGGCCTTCGTTGTTGGCGCGGAAAATACGCGGAGCGCCAGTGATTGGCGACGTTACTCGATGCGCCCCGTAATTCGATACGAG